GCCTTCCAAAAATCTTCTATAAGTACGTCATATGCCATATTCAGAAGGCATGTTGAAGGTTTAATTTTGTGATCTGTGATCAAGCTTTTTTCTGGGTAGAAAGTCTTCCAAAGCTATTCATTATCTTGAAGTCCTTCTGAGGCTCTTTTATACCTCGAAGACCTTTTTAAGCTCTACTGTAAAATATATGCCATCTTCGGTATTTTGTTTTGGTTATTCTTTATTTAGAGTTTTTATTTTTTGTATATTTTTTATTTGTTAATTATTATTTTTATTTTATTAATATCATTATGTATCTGCATATTTTAGCATTATTTTGATTTCCGTTACCAGACAGCTGGTCTTGAGTTATTTTTGTTTGTTTTATGGCAGGTCCACAGTCCATTGTAAGTGTTATGGGTGTGTTTTTCAATATTTAAATGTTGTTTATTTTTCACATTTTGTCTGCGTTGATACTCTATTTTTGGTAATTCGATACACTTCTTCTGTTAGATTTGTTTCACTGGCTCTCAGACATATTAGCGTTTTGTTTTGTTTCGTTTTCTACTTTTTCCTAATTTGCATTGCAGATTACAACCATCCGAACATTCGTCACGTCCGTTTGTTAAGCTTTTGTTAATAGCTCCTCGTCCTGATGTTATTGTGTCAATGTATTTGCGTGATAATGTTTGTTATATGAATGTATGTATTTGAAACGTATGTTTTGGAAATTTTATTTCAATTTGGCGGGGTTGAGAATAACATTTTTTTTTTTTGAAAACTGAAAAAAAAACTGTTGAATTTGCAGTTTTTCTTTATTCTTATTCTTCTTCTTCCTTTTTTTCTCTTTATCAAAATAACAATACATCTGAGTTGAACTGCCATTTGTGAGCCATTTTTTTTTTTTTGATATAATAAATATTTATGACCATTCTTTTGTCAATCATTAGGGAATTATTTGAAGAAATCCAAAAGGGAGTCATTCGTCGCACGTTGATTGTTGCTTTCTTTTTGGAAATAAAATTGCCAGCAGCGAAATTGTGAAGACATTTAATGTCCTATTAGCACGTATCTAATGTGTGTGACAGAAAACCGGACTGCTGACCTTGTCTTTAAAGGTAAGATTTATATTCTGTCTGAAATAACAAGTAACGAAAACAGCAGTTAGGTCTTAGGTCGACAATTTTATGACCACCACGACAAGGTGGTATACAAGTTACAAATCGATTTGACATTTTTCATAAGAAAGTTTTCAATTTAAAGAAAATTGGACAAAGCGGACTTATCGTTGTTGGTTGTAGGTAAGCTCTATTTATTTCAAGTCTTCATTCAAACACATCGGTTATATTAAATGCAAAAAAAAAAAAACAGTAAGGAAATAAGAAAAGTCGGACGGGGCCGACTATATGATACCCTTCACCACTTTGGATATATTCAACAGATGCATCCTAATAGACGTCGCATTTTTTAAGAACCATTAACATGAAATTGGATGAATTAAAATATGACATCTTTGTCTAATAATGAACTATTTAGACCGATCTATAAACATGTCATTCTGCAACCTATACCATTTTTTCATGTTTGAAACCGATTTTCACGAAACTTAACACACGTCATTGTAGACTTAATTCAGTACGCTATGCCAAAATTCGTGTAAATCGAAGGATATATAGGGACTTTCGTGCTCCATTAACATAAAATCGGACGTAAATATATTTGGGAGCTATATCTAAATCTGAACCGATTTTCACGAAACTTAGCACACCTCATTCTAGACTTAATTCAGTAAGCTATACCAAATTTCGTGCAAATCGAAAGATATATAGGGATATTGGTGCCCCATTTACCTTAAATCGGACGTAAATATATATCGAAGCTATATCTAAATCTGAACCGATTTTCACGAAACTTAGCACACATCATTCTAGACTTAATTCAGTACGCCAAGCCAAAATTCGAGCAAATCGAAAGATATATAGGGGCTTTGGTGCTTCATTAACATAAAATCGGACGAATATATATATATGTGAGCTATATCTAAATCGGAACCGATTTCCTCCTTGGGCCAAATAAATGAGCTGTATCAAATTTCATCCAAATCGGGTTATAAATGAGATCTGTATTTTGTTTACAATTTAACATCAACAGACAGACGGACATGCATAAATCGACTCAAATGTGATTCTATGCTTATTCTCAAAAGGAACCATGGGTCTATCCCGATTCCCTTTGCCTGTTACAAACATAAGCACAAAGATATAATACCCTGCTCCACAGTGCAGTGTGATGAAGGGTATAAAAAGTATTCTCATGTTTTTATAAAGGTCTTTCGTAGCCACGTTGCTCTGTGAAGATTTTCGGAACTACTACTAAGGAAAAAAAGCTTCTTACCGTGTGGCGAACCTTACGAAGTACCTCTGAAGCTCTTGTTAATTATTTGTGTATCTTTGGAAAATCCTTCATTGAAAGATTTTTTATATGGAGTACCTTTCAAAGTTCCTATAGATATTCTAATGGTAATTCGTAACACTTATGTGGTTAGAAGTCCCTGTGACGTACTTTTATAAATTTAAGACATTTAAAACCTCTTCTACACAAAAAAAAACTGTATTTTTCTTTAGATTTTTAAAGATCTTTAAAGGTTTTCTACCCCTGTGTAAGCTTTTTAATACCATGAAGAGGTTCCATATGGAATAGCATTTAAAGCTCGTATATATCTGAAAGATATTCTAATGACAATTCGAAGCTCTGTTTTGTAGTTGGAAGATCCATTGAAGGATAGGTCCGGTTACCAATCATTTAGAAGCTACTTTCAATCGGTAACCATTGTGTTCATCCTGAGTACCCGGAAACTAGAGGAGATTGAGGAGAGGAATAGAGGATAGATAGAAGGTCTTTCGAACCTCTTCTGAGCGTGTTTTATAACTTGAGGATATTGTGATGAATTTTCTTGAAGTATTTTCTTAGAAGTCTTTTCAATTTCTTTTATCTTGAAAACCTTTTACGAAGTTCATTTGGTCCCTTTCTATACGCCGAAGAGCTTCTATAAATAATGGCCCTTCATAAACGTTGCCTGGAAACCTTTCTGTAGCTTTTCTATAGCTGGAATATCTTCTAAAGCTACTGTGCATATAGACTATACTTTCTTCATTCCTTAGTCATTTCGAAGCTCCTCTCTCGAAGCTCCTTTTTTATACAAGAAAATCTTTTGAAACTCGTATATACTCCTAAAGATGTTTCCGTATATAATAGAAAATAATCCAAATGATTTAATAGCTAGACATCTAAGTGAAATTCAGACATCTATAAGCTTTGGAAGAACTTCATATGCAGAACTTCCCCTAAGAGATTAGTTTGTATGGTTAGGGGAGCCTCTGAAAATCCTCCAGAAATAAAATAAAAGCTACTGGAAGTTTTTTTGCTATAGAAGTTTGTATATGGCTTCTATGGATTAGTTTGTATATGGCTTCTATGGTTAGGGGAGCCTCTGAAAATCCTCCAGAAATAAAATAAAAGCTACTGGAAGTTTTTTTTGCTATAGAAGAGTCTTTTCATTATATTTCCAGAAGTTATTTCTACTTTAGAAAAATTTAAGAAGGGGTTTCTAGACAAGGTTTGATGTCATGGAATAGGTTTAGAATATTTCTTGCTATAGAAACATATAAAAGAACTTCAGCTGTATACGAACTTCACAAGGTCTTCCAGATATACAAGATATTCTAGTTATTGAAACAAATTTTACCTATAGAGAAGCTTCAGAAAATCTTTCCTTAGAAAGCTTCAGAAGGCTCCTAGGTATTCTAGGTACAGAAGCCTTTTATCTATAAAATGTGCTACAGATGGTATTCTATTTTCAGGAGATTTCGAAGGTTTCCTATCTCTATTACTTCTTGAAGTGCTTCCACCTACACCAAAACATTGGAATATTTTCTATGGGAAAATATCAAAGATCTTATTGCAATGGGTAAGTTTCAGAAGGCTCGTATATATTCTAGGTTTCGAAAGAAGCGTTACATCTATAATTGTGCTTCAGTCTTCTATCTATGGGAGAGGTCGAGAAGCTCATTTCATAGCTGTACAAGATCTTCCTGTCATACAAGAGCATTGACATATTTTCCAACTATAGAATAGCTTCAGATGGGATATTTTAGAATTTTTTAAATTTGCTTACTGTTTTCATTATAATGTAGATATTTTTTATTGACATTTATTTTTTATTGAATTTTATTAAATTTAATACAGTGTTTCTTCTTGCACCCTCCTCCAGCTCTAATACATAATATGTAAAGCTCTTCAACTCTTCCAGACATTTGATGAGTTAATGTGTCTCGAAAATTGAAAACTAATATCCGGAACTGTTTATTCCTTTCGTCACACACACAAAAGAAATGATTAATGATTCAATATTAGTTTAAGAAAAAATAACAACAACAAAAAACACTGGAACAACTTTTCCACAATTATCCTGCATTTGTTATTATTGTGGTTTGGCTAGACCAATGATGCTGATGCAGTATCGTCATCATCTTCAGCGCAAAAGGACAACATCATCGGCAACATGACTTGAATTGTGATAAATACAAAGCAGAGAAGTATGTATGTGTGAGTGTTGTTTTTAATTTTATTATTTTTTCGTGCATTTTCTGGAGATGATGGTCGAATGGCTGACATGCCATTCCATTAGCACAGACTCTTAGTCATTTATAACAAATACAAAAAAAAAAAATCGTATGACTTTATAAAAAATGCCATAAGATAAAAAATCCACCAAAAATGTCTGTGAAAATGAACTACAAAAATTTTTTTTTATTCTGTTCGATGTTCTTCGTATGGATTAAATTTCACTTTATAATGGAGTAAATTTGTTTTCACTATTCTATATGAAATATTATTTGGATGGAGTAGAAGTGGAAATTTGCTCACACCTCACCTTTGATCATCAGCATTACACATCAATTTCATACTCAACATTATTGACCTACGGAACGGAAGGCAGCAGCTGAAGAAACGTCTGGAGTATGGTCTATGGCAGGAGTATAGCAATTGGCGTTGTATTTTTGGCCATTGTTTGTGCATTGTCGGCATTGATTTTCTATTTGAGTTTGGGTAAGTTTCTCTGTTTTCACTTCATCTTCATTTTTCCTAGCGACCATACTTTAAAAGATAATCCCCGGCTCATTGCAAGATTTATATTTTATGTTTACACTTAAAATCCCATATGCATTATTTTATTATAGAATAATCTGCCATATTAATAAATTTACATTTATGTCGAATTAAAGGAGTTGTGTCTTGGTTTTCTGCATCCCCGAAAAGTAGGCAATAAAATTATTTTATATTGCCACGTGAAATTAGCATTTATTTCTCAAGCGATCTAAATGCCCATAACATCTGCTAGGATAAAGCCATTGTGAGATTCAAAACACGTATGTTTTTTTATGATGCCCTTAAACGATTTTCGAAAACAATAACAAATGTTTATGGGATATGTTAATAATATTAAAATAACATAAAAAGAAGAATCGAAGATTAAAAAAGACAACAAGGGAAAACCTATTTGTTTTTTATGGAGGATTTGAAAAAAAAAATAAGTACAATACATTAGCAGGATCTAAGTGATCAGCCAATTTTCCACAGGGAGCATAACAAATACCGAAATAACAGAAGCACTTCTAGTTATAGAAAAGCTTCAGTAAGCCTCGTGAATATATAAGGGCTTCAGAACAAATTCTAGCTGTAAATGAGGAATTTTGCTATATAAGAGCTTCAGATGAACTTTTTTCTGCAGGAGAGTTCTATAAGGTCTTCAATCTATACATATGAATCTATATTAGTCCACGCTTCTAAAAATATTCTTCCGTGAAAAATTCACGGTGTTAATGGTCCTTTGTAAAAATATTCTTTAAAAATCCCACGACTATGGTAAACCTTTAAAAAAAAAACTTTTTAAAAAAATCAGAACTCCAAAAGTCTTTAAAAAAAATTTAAAAAATCCACACATTAAGTGGTACTTTGGAAAAACATTTTGCCTATTTTGCCTATTAAAAAACCCTTAGCTAGTCATTTAAAGATATTTAAAACCAGTAAAGAAAGTAGTAAAATCGGGCTGGGCCGATTATATGATACCCTTCACCACTTTGGGTATCATCAGCTTGCGCAGGTACCCATGCTTCTGATCCATATAATAGCACGGGTAGTATCAGCGTCTTGTAAAGTGTGAGTTTGGTCTGGCCTTGTTTCAAAACTGCTTACTTAGACCATAGTAGCATCTGTTGGCCATCACAAACCTTCTCCGAATTTCAAAACTAATGTCATTCGTTTTATTTATGGCGGTATCAAGGTATATAAAGTCTTTAACTACCTCGAAGCTGTAGTTCTCAAGTTCCACAGTTGGTCCGAGTCTACTGTTGATACCATCAGCTTGGTCTTCTCGCCGTTTACTGCCAGACCCACTTTGGCAGACTCCTTTTCAATTTGTTCAAAGGTGGCTGTTACCGATCGCAATGTTCGTAGGGGATGATAGATACCAAGCAACGGCTCTGATCGGCTTTAACATGGCGAAGTCCAGGCTTATCTTGGTCCCTCTTTCATCGCAATTGTGGACACTGACCTCCCCGCGGTGCCACCTGGAAAGCTATTCTCATCACCCGACGACGGACATGCATAAATCGACTTAAAAATTAATTCTATTCATATTCTCAAAAGGAACCATGGGTCCATCTCGTTTCCTTTTGTCTGTTCCAAACATATGCACAAAGACATAATACCCAGTACCACAGTGTGGTGAAGGGTATATAAAATCACGTTCTTGAAAAAAATTTACCATTCTAAGAAAAAAAGTATTTTTCCAAAATCCCCACTGTTGATGCTATTTGAAAAATATCCACCTTCCTTAAAAAATCCACACTTTTCATGTATGTAAAAAATATATAAAAAATCCCAAATGAAAATCTTCCCCTCGTTCCAACTCCAATATAAATAAATTTAAATTTTCCAAATTTGTTATCTGTTTGTCATGTGCATTTTTTTTAATAAAATTCCCAATAAGTCCACAACGGAAGTCATTAAGGCGACCATTATTCTCCTTAAGTATCAAAACTAGACCAATTCTCACAATACCACAGCCATAATAGAATGGCCTTGAATTTATGATCATTGAAATTGTTTAGATGTATAAAATAAACCTACCCGAAGAACTGACCCTACCACGGTTCGGAATCACAATTAGATTCCTTGGAAGAAACAACAGTTAGTAGCTGGTGAAAGTTAACACACAAATTATATTTTTATTATTGTTTAGACACTTGTAAATTGGGTGTGTGTGTGTGTGTGTTTGCGGTTGGGTGTATTTGTGTCGGGTTATTAATAGTTTATTATGGCCAAGATACCCACACACACGCACACACTAACGCACATAAATTCCCATATATTTGTTTTTATTAGGACTTCTACTAATGTTGTTATCATGAATGGACTCTTCTGATTCCAAATTCACTTCATAAATGTTCGAGATCCAGTGGAGTCTGGCAAAGGGAGAAGGGATAAAAAACGTTGGGAATGAGATAAATGAATGCTGGCCATAATACGATTGCCACTTCAGTCAATTGTTAAGAGCAAGTGTTAGCCTTTTTCATTTGGTGTTATTGTTTTTTTGGTTTTCTTGTCGAAAGATGTTACTGTGACCAAATGGAATCTTAATAAAAAAATATTTTTTTTCGGAGCAGGGAGAGAGAGAATATGGTTGACTTTGAATCTTAATATAATGATTCCTTTTTTCGGACAAGAAGGAACATGCTTGTCCTTGTGGTCTATTAAATTGCAATTTATGAACATTAGTATTTGTTGTTTCATCTGCTGGTAGTTAGAGTTGTTCATTAACAATTGGCCTTTCGTTTGTCGGAGTGAGGTAGAAGGCTCCTTCGTTTTTCGCAAGGACCAAAAAATGTAGGCGACATTTATTGTTTTGCTGGTTAGATTTTTGTTGGACTCTTTAAGTAGTCTTGAGGCTATTTAATGTGGTAAATTATGCATGCTTGTTATCAAGAAATTTCTTTTCTGCCGTTTTCAAAGTTCATTCTCAGATTTTTGTTTTGGTAGCTGCTTAAGAAACTGCCAACTAAGTCATTATAGATTATCCAGTTAAATGTGGTGATAATTCCTAATGAGTTTCACAACAACACCTGCTGGTTTGAAATAGTAGTCGTCTTGTTTTTTTTATTTAAATTAAAAAAGTGGTTACCAAAAATAGAAGAGGATTTCCAAAAAAGTAGATTACAGCAAGGTAAGCGAAAGTTAATAACTATTTTATCTAAACAAATCCTACGAATAGCAGGACAAAGATGTACTTTTCAAAGGATGAAGGAACACGTGAAGAGTTGAGTTTTTAAATAGTATACATTTTTTTATATAAAAATCATTCTATAAAAAATCCACGCCTTGTGTTGGTCCTTGAAAAATAATTCTATAAAAAATCCGCGCCTTGTGTTGGTTCTTGAAAAATACTTACTTACTTAACTGGCTTGTTACAGAACGGTTGTTCCATAAGCCGAGCTTAAAAAAGATTTCCAAGCGCGTCGGACTTGTGCGCATCTCCTCCAATTTGAAAGACCACGTTCCAAGATGTAGTTTTCTACTTGGCCTTCCCATCTAATTTGTGGCCTTCCCCTTCTACGGGAACCATCACTAGGCTCGCTATTATATGCCTTGGGCATTCTCATTCATCCTATGGTCTAGCCACCGTAGTCGCCGCAGCTCAATACGATAAATTGTATATAAATTGCGTATAAATTGTAAAGCTCGTGGTTCATTCGACGCCGATATTCACCGTTGACGCAGATCGCCGTTGTAGATCTTTCGGAGAAAATTTCTTTCAAACACCCAAAGAGCTGCCTCGTCTGCTTGCGCAAGTACCCATGCTTCAGATCCATATAACAGCACGGGTAGTATCAGCGTCCTGTAAAGTGTGAGTTTGGTCTGTCGGGAGGTGGCCTTGTTTTTGAGTTGCTTGCTTAAACCATAGTAGCATCTGTTGGCCATCACAATCCTTCTCCGAATTTCAAAACTGATATTATTCGTTTTATTTATGGCGGTACCAAGGAATATAAAATATTTAACTCCCTCGAAACTGTAGTTCTCAAGTTTCACAGTTGGTCCGAGACTACTGGACGTCTTGCGCGTTGATACCATCAGCTTGGTCTTCTCGCCGTTTACTGCCAGACCCACTTCGGCAGACTCCTTCTCAATTTGTTCACAGGTTGCTGTTACCGCTCGCAATGTTCGACCCATTTTATCGATGTCATCCGCGTAGGCGAGTAATATGTGTTGTTTGGTGTATAGAGTGCCATTTCTGTCCACCTTTGCGTCTCGTATGACCTTTTCCAGCAGGATGTTGAAAAGATCACACGTCAAACTGCCACCTTGTCTGAATTCTCGTTCGGCATTGTGCCACTTAAAGTTATTCTGCATAGCCGTATTAATTGCTCTGAATGGATAGGGCTGTCGAATGCGGCTTATATTCGACGAATAGGTGGTATGTGTGGATGTCTTCTTCGTGGTCTTTTCCAGGATTTGGCGCAGAGTGAAAATCTGGTCAATGGTGGATTCGTCAGGTCTGAAGCCGCTTCAATCGTTCACACAGCACACTAGATAGCACTTTATATGCGATGGGAAGACTAATTCCTCTGTAGTTGGCACATATCGCCTTGTTTCCTTTTTTGTGCATGGGACACAGGATGCTGAGTTTCCAATCAGTGGGCATGCATTCCTCTAGCCAAATTGTACTAAATAGCTGGTGCATGCTCCTGACCAGCATCTGACCCCCAGTCTTCAGTAGTTCGGCTGGTAACCCATCGGCTACTGCTGCTTTATTGTTCTTTAGCCGATTAATTGATATTCTGACCTTATCTTGGCTAGGTGGTAAACACTCTATACCGTCATCTATTATTGGTTCTGGGGTATCTTCTTCACCGCCACTATTTGATACCAGAAGCTTTTCAAAATGCTCCTTCCAGATCCTCAACACGCTGCCTGTATCTGTTACCAGGTTTCCTTCTTCATCTCTACAGGACTATGTGCCTGCACCAAAACCTTCGGTTTGGTGTTTTGCTCGTTGGTAAAATTTCCGGACTTCATTCTGACTCCTGTACATCTCGATTTGCACACGCTCACGTTTTTCTTGTTCGTTCTGAAAACACGTTTCTCATCTCTCCTTTTCTCCCGACAATTCTCCATCACATTACGTGTTGCTACTGTCTGCAGGGTTGCCATATACGCTGCGTTTTCACATCAGTAGCATTACGACACTCCTGATCGTACCATGGGTTTCTTGGTGGAGGTCTTTGGTACCCAAGTTTTGCTTTTGCTGCAGTTTATAGGGAGTGGGCAATTCTTTGCCATTGTGCTGCTATACTATTATCGGGACAAGAAGAGCTTTCGTCAAGCAGTTGGGTAAGTTGTGCGGAGTAGGCCTCGGCTACCTGTTGTGTTTGCAGCTTTTCGACGTAAAATTTCCGTATTATGTTAGATCGCACCTTTGCTGTAACATTAAGACGAGTGCGAACCTTGGCTGCTACAAGGTAGTGGTTCGAATCGATATTCGCTCCTCGGATCGATTGAACGTCTAATACACTGGATGAATGCCTTCCGTCTATCACAACATGATCAATTTGATTTCTCGTTACTTGATCAGGAGAAATCCAGGAGGCTTTGTGTATATCGACATGTTTGAATCTGGTCCTGCTAACTACCATGTTTTTTGCTGCCGCGAAGTCAATCAACCTGCCTGCCGTTATCGGATGTTTCTTCATGAAGGCTGAATTTTCCGACGGTGGGGCCAAAGATATTTTCCCTTCCGAATTTTGCATTAAAATCTCCTAGCAGAATTTTAATGCCATGGCCAGGGCAGCGATAAAAAATTCACGCTGCTTTGGATCATAAAAAATCCTTCTATTGGTCCTTGCAAAATATTTTTTGTAAATAATTCTTCTGTTGGACTTGAAAAAAGTCCTCTGTAGACAAATTACATTCAAAAAATCACCTCTGCATCCCTTATATAAGATTTAAAAATCTCCTTCTTTACTTCTTTCCCCGACCACCTTTGTGTTAACATGTTAATAATAGCTAATAGACAAATACAATTTATGGCTAAATGGTCGGATATTTTTTTAATTTTTGAAATTTCACAGATTCTCAATTTAGTTGATATTAAATTATTTACTCAAATATTCCGTGACATTATATTTCTACAATTTATTGACTCTGTTCCCTCATGCCAGTTATTTTTGTCCTTTCACTTCGTTTTTTTTTCTTATTTTTAGGTCCCTGTCCCAGTGGCACATTTGCCTGCGACAATGGCCGATTCTGTGTGCCGCAACGACAAATATGTGACCATCGTCGGGATTGTATCGATGGCAGCGATGAACATCCCGTTGAGTGCGGCATTCTCTATGGCAGCATACAAATGACAGATAAAATTATACAAAAGGCGATTGAGAAACATCGTCAGAAGCTGCAGCAGCAACAGCAAACTATTGTGGGCAATAATGTGACGGTTGCGACGACGTCGTCATCTTCATCGACGGACACAGAAACCATCCACAAGGATTTGAATGTAACAAAGGCCGCTGAAAGAGACAACAAACAACTAGAACAACAACAAATGGCAAAATACAACAATTGTGGTAAGGGGTTCTCTAAGTTCCATCACTATTTTTTTATTTTTGTTGGTTTTGTTGTTTTTTTTCTTGTTTTTTTTATCCCTTTTTTGTAAAGGATTCTGCCTTAATAATTTAAGTTTTGTGTGTAGGTTTTTAAAAATATGCTAAAGGTCAGTGTACGTGTGGCGTATACGTAGTGTCATTACTTATACGTGAGCTTGAAAATAATTAAAATTAATGTTCAAATTATACGACAACACAGAATTTGTGGAGTCAAGAGAGGGGAGAAAAAGAAATGGAATGAGAGCTGGGAATATAAATTATAATTAAAAATAATTAGCATTTATTTCGTGTTAACTTGATTTTAATTTTTTTAATAAATGTATAACTATTTCAAACAAAACCAGTAAGGAAAGTAGTAAAGTCGGACGGGGCCGACTATATGATACCCTTCACCACTATGGGTATATTAAACAGGACTATTAGCTTGAACTTGAATGAAATAAAATATGTGATATTTATCTAAATGTGAATCTACGTAGATCTACCCATAAAGTATGTAAATCGACTTCAAACAAATATAAATAGGTCATCCGTTGGGCTATGTCTGTACTTCTAGAAAACGAAACTACATAATTCTATGCTCAATTTTGTACGTTGTGCAAAATTTGATGACAAACTGACTAACATGAGGAGTTTGATGCCCAATTTACTTGATATCGGGCCAAATATTAAGCAATTTCAAACAAACTTGTCACAGGATACGTTATACTAATTTCAGAACGTTTTGTTCCTATTGGTTTCTTGGTGCGTCAAGTACTTAAAATCAGTACGTTATGCCAAATTTCGTGCAAATCGAAAGATATATAGGACTTTGGGGTACCATTTACATGAAATCGGACGAAACTATATATGGGAGCTATATCTAAATCTGGACCGATTTTCACGAAACTTTACATACATCATTCTAGACCTAAATGCTTAGGCTGTACCAACTTTCGTGGAAATCGAATGATATATAGGGACTATATATATAACTATATATATATATATAACATATATAACTATATATGGGAGCTATATCTAAATCTGGACCGATTTTCTCGAAACTTGGCAGAAATCACTCTAGGCTTAATTCAATACGTTATGCCAAATTTCGTGCAAATCGAAAGATATATAGGGACTTTGGGGCACCATTTGCATGAAATCGGACGACACTATATATGGGAGCTATATCTAAATCTCGACCGATTTTCACGAAACTTTGCAGACATCATTCTAGACCTAAATGATTAGATTGTACCAAATTTCGTGAAAATCGAATGATATATAGGGACTTTGGGGCACCATTTACATGAAATCGGACGAAACTATATATGGGAGCTATATCTAAATCTGGACCGATTTTCTCGAAACTTGGCAGAAATCACTCTAGGCTTAATTTAGTACGTTATGCCAAATTTCGTGCACATCAATAGATATATAGGGATTTTGGGGTACCATTTACATGAAATCGGACGAACCTATATATGGGAGCTATATCTAAATCTGGACCGATTTTCTCGAAACATGGCAGACATCACTCTAGGCTTAATTCAGTACGTTATGCCAAATTTCGTGCAAATCAAAAGATATATAGGGACTTTGGGGCACCATTTACCTGAAATCGGACGAAACTATATATGGGAGCTATATCTAAATCTGGACCGATTTTCACGAAACTTGGCAGACATCAGTATAGGCCTAAATGATTAGCCTATACCAAATTTCGTGCAAATCGAAAGCTATATAGGGACCGTTTACATTAAATCGGTTAAATATATATATGGGAGCTATATCTAAATCTGAACCGATTTTTCCCAATTTCAATAGGGTTCGTCCTTGGGCCGAATAAGTGACCTATGCCAAATTTCATCCAATTCGGATCATAAATGCGACCTGTACTTTGTTTACAATTTAACATGGACAGACAGACGGACGGACGGACGGACATGCATAAATCGACTTAGAAAGTGATTCTATGCATATTCTCAAAAGGAACCATGGGTCTATCTCGATTATTTTTGCCTGTTACAAACATATGCACAAAGACATAATACCCTGTACCACAGTGTGGTGAAGGGTATAAAAAAGATACTTGTCTAAAATTTTAGTATTAGAGATACAATAAATTTTTTTATATTATTTTGTTTATCCTTCTTTGCAGAAATATCAACATATCCAAAAAAATGTATCTGTCGAAAAACAGCCCTATATTGTAGCTCCAAAGCATCTCTAACAAGTATACCCGAAATAAGTGAAGAAGTAAGTACTGATTTTTTGAAACATTTTGAAGATTTTCGATATCAATGTCGGTCCATATTTCTACTTGGCTACCATACAAAGATTATTGTCGACATGTTGCAGGTCCTAGCCCAGTTCCCCAACCTGAGTGTCTGCAATTTGTTTAGTACAATAACATTAAGGTCCCAATTTTTTTTAGAAAATTGTATACACACTACATGGCGTTGAGTATAAAAAGTTTGGTCCAGGTGTACTTAACGATATTTATAGTTTTTAATCTTAAATCTGTAGAAAAGTTTTAGAAGGTATTTCAAATCAAAAGATCTTCAGCAGCTGGCCTACATAAAGAAAATATACAAAAAATCTCCTAACCCAGGAACCGCTGCAGAAGATCTTCTAGCAAATGGGAATGTTTCAGACGGCCTAATAGAAGCTTGTAGCAGAGCTTAAAAAGCTGTCTATTTTTAGAAAAGCTTCATAAGGTCTTTAAGCTTGGTAAACTCTTTTCGAAGATCCTTTTGTTTATCTAATCATACTGGACTTTTTATATTTCGAGCTTCAAGAAAGACATCAAAAGGTATTTCTAGAGCTGTTAAAGCTGCAAGTCATATATAAAAGCTTCTAAAAGCTTTTTAGTCATATTATGGCTTTAGAAAGTCGACAGTTTATAGGTGAGTTTCAGGAGTATTTTACGTCTCTTAGGAACTTCAGAATGATATCTTTGGAAGGTATTTTATTTATGTAAAAGCTTCGGAAGATCTTTCAGGTTTTCTTTAAGAGAAGCTTTAGATACAAATTGCAGGAGTTTTACTAGCTATATGAGGTGAGATCTTCAAAAGGAGCCTACAAAGGTATTCTAAAGTTTTTAAAGCTTCAAGGCGTATATAAGCTTTTGAAGGCTTTCTTGTTATAATAACATCATTAGTCTATAGACGAGCTTCAGGGGGTATTCTTGCTTGCAAAGAGCTTCAGAATGACTATATAAGGTGAGATCTTCAAAAGGAGCTCACGAAGGTATTCTAAGGTTTTTGAAGCTTTAAGGCGTATATAAGCTTCGGAAGTCTTTATAGTTATAGGAAGGTCATCAGTCTAAAGAGAAGCTTCAGGGGATCGTCTCGCTTGAAAAGATCTTCAGAATGGTACGTCTAGCTATACAGGATCTTAAGATGACATTTTCGGCGAAGAGCTTCAGGAACTTTACTAGTTATAGAAGGTGTTCAGAAGGACGTCAGTCTAGAGGAGGTCTTCTCGCTTCAGAGTAGCTTTAGAATGTGGATATGCTATAGAGGAGCTTCAAAAGGTCTTGCTGATATAGGTGAGCTTTTGAAGGGTATAGAAGAGCTTAATAAAGTCTATTAGTTATAAACGATTTCTTAGTTATAGACGAGCTTCAGAACGTCTTTCTGCAATGGTAGAGCTTTAGAAGGTTCAGCTTCAGAATGACGTTTTTGATACGTCTAGTCACAGGAAATTCATATGGCATTTTCGGTGAAAAAGAGTTTCAGGAAATTAACTAGCTATAGAAGTGCTTTAGAAGGAGGTCAGTTTAGATGACATTTTCGGTGAAGAAGAGCTTCAGGAAATTTACTAGCTATAGAAGTGCTTTAGAAGGACGTCAGTTTAGAGAATCTTCAGAAGGTCTTGTTGCTTCAGAGGAGCTTCAAAATGTCATTAGGCTATAAATTAACTATAAAAGGTATTACTGCTATAGTAAAGCTTTTCAAGAGTATAGAAGAGCTTAATAAGGTTTTCTAGATATTTCTGCAATGGTCGAGCTTTAGAAGGTTTTGTAGCTATTGAAAAGCTTTAGAAGTCCTTTTCCATACGCAAGAGTTTCTGATAGTTTGCTACCAATATATAAGACCTTCAGTGGATCATACGGTTATAGAATAAACCTAGAAGATATTTTTTTCTCTATATATTCTAGACTCTTTTCAAAAGACATTCCAATTATGGGCGAGCTTTGGAGTTTTATTCGGCTATAGACAAATTTCCGAAGGTATTTATGCTATAGAAGAGCTTCAAATGGTCTTCTGTGTGTAGAAAAGCTTCAATAGGTCTTTTGGCCAAAGAGTAGCGTCAGAAGGAGTTCTAGCAATAGAAGAGCATCAGAAGATCTTCTAGCTATAGAAGAGCTTTCGAAGCTCTTATAGCTATAGGAAATCTTCCAAAACTCCTGTAGTCATGGAATAGCTTCAGTAGATCTTCTTGATATACAAAAGTCTCGTGATGTTTTCTAGATATAAAATAGCTTGAGAAGGTCTTTTAGACGTAGATTCAGAAGGTTCACTAGCCATAGAGACCTTCAATGATTATTATAGCATTTGAAAAGCTTTAGGAGGCCTTTGAGATATAGGTTAAATATGCCTTCTATTTCTAGTTGATGAGGTACTTCAAATAACCTTCTAGATTTTTAAGAGATTCAGAAAATCTTCCCAATGTCTTTTAGCTATAGAACAGCTTCTGAAGCTCTTATAACGGTTAGTAGATTTTCTTGCTATACAAGAGCCTCCGAAGGTCTCTAACTAAAGAAGAGCTTTAGAAGGTCCACTTGACATAGATTCAGAAGGTCCATAGCCATATATTTTTAAGAGTAAAAGACCTTGGCATTGAAGGTCTTTCGAAGGCCTTTCGAATTTCAAGAAGGGACACAATATAAGAATTTCACAAGGTATTAAGTTATCTGTTACTGAAATAACTTCAGAAGTCCTTCAGAATTTTGTCTCTAAATTCTAAAAAATAAATTTTAAAGCTCTAAAAATGTCTCTTGCTCGTTTTTTTTTCATTTCTAGGTCACAACTCTAATAATAGTAAACAACAATCTAACCTTACAAAGAAGCGCATTTGCTTCCAATACAAATTTAGAAATATTGTAAGTAAACAAGCAGTAATTAGAAGTTAAAATAAATTTTAAATTCTCTAAATTTTCCTATAAAAAAAAAACTTTTCCCCCTCTGAAACTTCGAAAACAGAACATTGAAGTACAATAATATACAAATATTACCGGTGCGGACATTCGAAAATCTCACCCAGCTAAAAAAACTGAATATACGTTACAATAGTTTAAGTACAATAACGGAAGATGCATTTCATGGTCTCGATAAACTCCAATGGTTATTTTTAAGTTCCAATCGTCTGCGAACGTTACCCATACACGATTTATCAACGAACTTACCGGCGTTGGAATGGTTGGCCTTAAGTGATAATCTACTGACACTGGATGGTGAAATATTTCCAACGATGCCGGTACTCTATGAATTGTAAGTAGAGATTTTCTTTTCTTGTACAAAAAAGAAAATCAAAGAGAGGTAGAGAGAAGAATGCAAATTATATGCGTTCTCCATATTCATTTAAATAAATGCCACTTAGAAATTCGAAATATGAAAATTGCATTCAATATTTCATTTTAAATTCGCATTTTCAACAAATTTTCCTTAATATTTATCGTTTTGTACTGTTTCTATTTTTTATGCTATTATCATAAAACAATAATAACGATAACTATGAACCTGAGAAAAGGTCTTCAATAAAAAAAATATTTTTTCAAGGAATATAGGAAGCTAGGGACCTCATAGAAGAATGGATTTATTAAAAAATATTTCTTTCAAAGACCTTTAGAAGCGTCAATTTATTAAAAACTACATTTTCAAAGACCTTTAGAGGCGTGGATCTATTTAAAGAGATTTTAAAGCGACTATAAGGGGTGTGGATTTATTAAAAAAAATTTCAAGGATCATAAGAGGAGGTCAATGTTTTGACCAACGCAAGTGGCTGTAGTTCGGCGTTTAGCTGGAGGTCTTCTATGTCTCTCATAGAAGTGCTGGAGGTCTTCTATGTCTCTCATAGAAGTGCTGGAGGTCTTCTATGTCTCTCATAGAAGAGCTGGAGGTCTTCTATGTCTCTCATAGAAGAGCTGGAGGTCTTCTATGTCTCTCATAGAAGAGCTGGAGGTCTTCTATGTCTCTCATGGAAGAGCTGGAGGTCTTCTATGTCTCTCATAGAAGAGCTGGAGGTCTTCTATGTCTCTCATAGAAGAGCTGGAGGTCTTCTATGTCTCTCATAGAAGAGCTGGAGGTCTTCTATGTCTCTCATAGAAGAGCTGGAGGTCTTCTATGTCTCTCATAGAAGAGCTGGAGGTCTTCTATGTCTCTCATAGAAGAGCTGGAGGTCTTCTATGTCTCTCATAGAAGAGCTGGAGGTCTTCTATGTCTCTCATAGAAGAGCTGGAGGTCTTCTATGTCTCTCATAGAAGAGCTGGAGGTCTTCTATGTCTCTCATAGAAGAGCTGGAGGTCTTCTATGTCTCTCATAGAAGAGCTGGAGGTCTTCTATGTCTCTCATAGAAGAGCTGGAGGTCTTCTATGTCTCTCATAGAAGAGCTGGAGGTCTTCTAGTCTCTCATAGAAGGCTGGAGGTCTTCTATGTCTCTCATAGAAGAGCTGGAGGTCTTCTATGTCTCTCATAGAAGAGCTGGAGGTCTTCTATGTCTCTCATAGAAGAGCTGGAGGTCTTCTATGTCTCTCATAGAAGAGCTGGAGGTCTTCTATGTCTCTCATAGAAGAGCTGGAGGTCTTCTATGTCTCTCATGTAAGAGCTGGAGGTCTTCTATGTCCCTCATAGAAGAGCTGGAAGTCTTCTATGTCTCTCATAGAAGAACTGGAGGTCTTCTTTCTCTCATAGAAGAGCTGGAGGTCCTCTATATCTCATAGAAGAGCTGGTGGTCTTTTGTCTATGGCCATAAGATGCGTGGATTTATTACAAAATCGTTTTTCTATGACCATAAGAAGCGTGGATTTCTCATACAATCTTTTTTCTATGACCATTATTTTTTAAGGCCGTAAGAGGCGTGGATTTATTAAAAAAGGACCATAAGTGGGGCGATTTGTTAAAAAATGTTTTTCAAGGGCCATATGGTTCTTGGACCACAAGAGCCGTGGATTTGTGAGAAAAATTCTAGGGCAATATGAAGCATGAATTTATTAAAAAATATTTTTTTCTAGAACTATATTGGACGTGGATTTGTTAAAAAAAACGTTAAATTGTAAACAAAGTGCAGGTCGAATTTATGATCCGAATTGGATGAAATTTGACATAGGTCACTTATTTGGCTAAATGACGAACCCTATTGAAATTGGGAAACATAGCGTAATGAATTAGGTCTAGAATGATGTGTGTAAAATTTCGTGAAAATCGGTCCAGATTTAGATATAGCTCCCATATATATTTTCGTCCGATTTGATGTAAATGGTGTACCAAAGTCCCTATATATTTTTCGATTTGCAGGAAATTTGGTATAGTGTACTGAATTGGGTCTAGAATGACGTGTGTTTAGTTTAGAAAATCGGCTCAGATTTAGATATAGCTGCCATATATATTTTCGTCCGATTCAATGTAAATGGTGCACCAAAGTTCCTATATATCGTTCGATTTGCACGAAAATTGGCATAGCGTACTGAATTAAGGCTAGAATAGCCCTATGTATATTTCGTTGGATTTAATGTAAATGATGCATCAAAGTCCGATTTGCACGAAATTTGGCATAGCGTACTGAATTGATAATGATGTGTGTTAAGTTTCGCGAAGATCGGTTCAAATTTAGATATAGCTCTCATTTTCGTCCGATTTTAGGTAAATGGACCACCAAACTCCTAATTTTTGTCCGATTGACACGAAAGGGCGGCTTACCGAATAGCGTGTTTTAAGTTTGCTATAAATCGTTTTAAATAAGGTTGTCCCATTTTACGCAAACGACTGTAATTCTGCCTGAATGAAATGAAACTTAACATAGGTTTCAGAATATACTATGTACGGATTGATGTTAGTCGGTTCATATAGAGATAAATATCACATACTTCGAAAAGGCGACGTCTATTAGGATATATATGTAGAATATACCAAAGTGTTGAAGGGTAGTATATAGTCGGCCCAGTCCGACTTTACTACTTTTCTTACTGGTTGTATATTGAATAGAATACTTTAATATTTGTTTAAATCGAATGTAGGACAGGTACTGATTAAACAGTACCTATCTATCCTTGCTCCCTTCCTTATTGGTTTCAAAATATTTCATAGTGAAAACGTACAAAACATCCCTACCAACATAAGGAATATAATTTATGTCATTTTAAACCAACGAAACGTAAAAGTGACTTCTATTAACTACCAAATCACTACACAAAAGAAGCTCATCATTTTCATATTTATTGAGAAAACGTGGATGTGGAAAATGGAACGCAAAAATCTGCATGCAAAATAGATAATATTTGTTTTTGTAAAAAAAATCAATAAACTTGAACAACATATCGGCTATCAACACAGCATCACAAAAAGAAAATAATGAAACCAATTTATTTATTACAAAAAATCGCACACAATTTCAGTATAGGGTGCTTGTATTTCTACAAGTTTTCGGTGACCTCTCTCTCTCTCTCTCTCTTGTACTACAAGGGAAGATAGAGAAGCAGAGAGGCTATAATTTATGTTTTGTAATTTACATAAAATATCGTCATTTTATTTTTGACTCAGTGTGCCACTCTTGTAGGCGATATTCGTAAGAAAAAAAAGTAATGAAGGCACAACAATCTGTAAAATATCAATATTTTTAATAATGTCCAGATATTGTTTCTATTAATTAATGCGTTTCAATTTATAAAAATAACAATAATTGGTGTTCAATGAATTTGGTTAATTTGTATATATAATGTTAATATTTTTTTATTCTTAACATTTTTAATTTATTTATTTTTTTTGTTTCAATTGCAGGGACTTAAATGAAAATCTCATTACCCACATCCATCCAAAGGCATTTTGGGGCTTAAGGAATATTCGCGATATGTAAGTGTGTGTATGAATTTATGTGTGTTTCATTCATCCATTAAGACAAACCTGAATTTGGTAAAATATATATTTAATGTAAAAATATATTCCGATTATTTAATGTCGGGTGCTCTAAGAATCTTATATTAACGCATAATAAATTATATACGAGGACTACTATATATATATATATATCTGGCCTAATAATGACAAGTAAAAAAAAATGTGAAAAATTGTCAGTCTGTGTTGGTGAAAGCTATATATTCTCAGGCTATGACATATCTTACCTAAACCCAACTTTTGTACGGGAGTTACGAGAGAAGCGGGACCCATAATGTTACTCTGAATCTTTGGTTAGTGTAAATATTAAGGTTATAAAGGTTCTGACCACACAGGAGCCACCATTCTGTTTATATTCTGGATAATGCATTCACCTCATATGAAATTTACAAGGTGTGGTCCGATGGATCCCATTTCAGTTTAATCAGGGTATGGTAAACATTTTTCTATGGGCATTCTTCAATGGATCAAATGGGATAGTCCAGCTTCATATGAAATTTTGAAGTTTTCAAAATTGACATCCTTGTAGTAGACTTTCAAAATTTTGACTTGTTGTGGAGTAGGTACACAAATGAGTAATCGGTCCACTTGGAACCTGATATAAATTTGGAAGAAATATTACGATGTGTAAAATTTTGAATTAAATCGGTTACCCCCATCGAGAGTTATCGTGCACAACAGCCAGGCAGGCAGGCTGATTTAAAATTTCACAAAAAGGCCGGACCTTTATATGGAGCCTATGTCATCGTGAATGATCTGCTAGTGAGTTATTTGTGCTCTGAGAAAATTTTATACCAAATTGAAGAGAGGAACTGAGGGTTAGAGCTATTTAAAAACATGGACCTATATTAATTTTTTTTCCAGAAAAAGGTTAGTTATTCACCAGGATAGCCAACTTACAGTCACTTCGGTGGTAAAATGTCGTTCAAATGAAGCAGGTAATTTATATGGATGCTAAGTAAAAACATGACCACATCTCGAAAATTTTCTGCAAATATGTTTTTTACCCTGCAAGAACCGGAAATGCCAATTTAAAGCCACTTCCGCAGGGAAATTCGGCTAAAACTATCAGAATACCGAAAATGGGAAGGGGACGTTTATTTGGGGACTATGTCAAAACATGGCCTATATGGAAATAGTTCTGCAAAAATATTTATCACCCTCCAAAAACCCGGAATACATATTTGGTTCCACTTCGATGGGGAAATTTGAAGTGGATTGTAATAATGAAGCTATATCTAAAATAACAAAAATAACATCAAAATATCTAATCGGAAGTCTTTAGCTCGTCTATAGAGACTTCCTTTAGCTCGCCTATATGAACTCCATTCTACTCGTTTTTAAAGACACTCTTCAGCATCACGTTCCCAGTATTCGCTCCCTTCAAATCGTTCCTACAGCTCGTCTATAGAAGACTCCCTTCAGCTCGTCTATAGAAGACTCCCTTCAGCTCGTCTATAGAAGACGCCTTCCAGCTCGTCTATAGAAGACGCCTTCCAGCTCGTCTATGGAAGACTCCCTTCAGCTCGTCTATGGAAGACTCCCTTCAGCTCGTCTATGGAAGACTCCCTTCAGCTCGTCTATGGAAGACTCCCTTCAGCTCGTCTATAGAAGACTCCTTTCATCTCGTCTATAGAAGACTCCTTTCATCTCGTCTATAGAAGACTCCCTACAGCTCGTCTATAGAAGACTCCCTTCAGCTCGACTATAGAAGACTTCCTTCAGCTCATCTATGGAAGACTCCCTTCAGCTCGTCTATAGAAGACTTCCTTCAGCTCGTCTATAGAAGACTTCCTTCAGCTCGTCTATAGAAGACTCCCTTCAGCTCGTCTATAGGAGACTCCCTTCAGCTCGTCTATAGGAGACTCCCTTCAGCTCGTCTATAGGAGACTCCCTTCAGCTCGTTTATAGGAGACTCCCTTCAGCTCGTTTATAGGAGACTCCCTTCAGCTCGTCTATAGGAGACTCCATTCAGCTCGTCTATAGGAGACTCCCTTCAGCTCGTCTATAGGAGACTCCATTCAGCTCGTCTATAGGAGACTCCCTTCAGCTCGTCTATAGGAGACTCTCTTCAGCTCGTCTATAGAAGACTCCCTTCAGCTTGTCTATAGAAGACTCCCTTCAGCTTGTCTATAGGAGACTCCTTCAGCTCGTCTATAGGAGACTCCCTTCAGCTCGTCTATAGGAGACTCTCTTCAGCTCGTTTATATGAGACTCCCTTCAGCTCGTCTATAGAAGACTCCCCACAGCTCGTCTATAGAAGACTCCCTTCAACTCGTCTATAGAAGACTCCCCACAGCTCGGTTGTAAAGGCTCCCTTCAGCTCTTCTATATAAAAAAAGAATTCCTTCCCTAGACTTATTTTTGTTACCCTCCTTAATGAATTATTAAGTCCATAAAAATTCTAATTACAACATAAAAAATCTCTCAAGGACATTTCTCCAATAAAATTCTGCATAATGGCCATTGGTCCACTTAGAAAAAAACCAATTGTTTTATTTATTAACAGCTGACCTCCGAAACAATTTGATTTCAAAATCTTACCAATTACTTGACTTTTTTGTTCGTAAGGAATATTAAGTGTTGGCAATAAACGATATCATAATTTAGGGTCATAGATAAAATTAGACATATGGCCAATTTTCATCGAGAAAAATTTATTATTTGAAAATCTGCACTGATATTAAGAAAATTAGAACATCAAAATGCAATACAAAAAATAAATAAATTTTTTTTTTAGTTTGACTTGATTTATTTTCAATTTGTGTTCTGCTGATTTAGAGATATACTAGAGGCTAGTTGAAGATTAATGGTCATTAGGATAAGGATATTATGGGGTGAAGCTGAAGATGACATCTCGAGTATGTGTCCAGCTAAAGTGCCGTTGTTGTCAATACATTTTTAACTTTTGCGCCTATGGTCGACATTGAAAGCCCATAAATAACGCCATGACTTTGTGGCTGGAAACTTTTTGTAATAAATATCTTGTGTGAAATTGATATTGGTTAGTTGTTATAAATAGTTGTTGGACAATTAATGCTTCATATTTGAGTTTCAGAATTTTTTCTTAAAGGGAATTTTCTTCCATACCACAAAATTTCCATTAAATAATTGTGATATTCCAAAATGTTCTAACATCTCAGACTTATTGATGGATAATAAACAAATAAACTAAAGTCATATTTTCACAAATATACGAACATACACACCCAAATGGACATTTTTACACAATTACATTCCCTCACACACACACACGCATAAACTCTCTTACAGTTATCAAAATGTTAAGGAATCTTCCAAAGACATCCTTACAATCTGTCTTTTTATTTCTTTTGGACATTTGTCCGAATTACTTTTGTCCTTTCATCAAAAGACAAACCATCAACAACAACAACTGCAATAATAATTCACAATCTTTAGTGTTTGTGTTGTTGTTCTTATTGTTGTCCTCTTTGGCGAATGAATTTTCCACAACATGATTACCACAATCCTAGACACATTGACGAAGGGACTTACAAATGCTTGTAAGGATATATGTGTGTATGTGTGGTTATCATGTTGCCTTGCACTTACATAAATGCATTTTATGATGCTGTGCTAACATGCATTTAAGTGGGTGTGTGTTTGTATGTGTGTGGGTGAATTCTTTACATTTTTATAGCTTAGGGTGTTGAGTATTATCCCTTGTGTTCATGGCGTTGTTCGATACCGTTATCTTCTGTGTCATAATATGTTGTAGTCCATTGTAGCTGGGATTTTATGGTGGATCATATGTCCAGACTGAAATAGTTCGAAGCATTATGTTTGGTTATGGACTGATTGTTTGATTTTGATTGATATGTACACACACACACCCAAGGGTAATCCTGTTGTTGGGTGTAGTTGAGTGGCGCAACAACGTTTAAAGAAGTTCAATTAATATTTAAAGAACATGGTAAGTGGTAATGAAGTCAAAATTTAGGTTCATGAGAGAGAGAGAGAGACGAAGAGCGAAAATTAAAAAAAAAAATAATTCTATAGACTGGAGTCTCCATAGACGGAGATGAATGAAGAAGGCTTATAGTCAAATGGAACCTGAAAGGAGTCTTCTATAGACGAGCTGAAGGGAGTCTTCTATAGACGAGCTGAAGGGAGTCTTCTATGGACGTGCTGAAGAGAGTCTTCTATAGACGAGCTGAAGGGAGTCTTCTATAGACGAGCTGAAGGGAGTCTTCTATAGACGAGCTGAAGGGAGTCTTCTATAGACGAGCTGAAGGGAGTCTTCTATAGACGAGCTGAAGGGAGTCTTCTATAGACGAGCTGAAGGGAGTCTTCTATAGACGAGCTGAAGGGAGTCTTCTATAGACGAGCTGATGGGTGTCTTCTATAGACTAGCTGAAGGCAGTCTCTTTAGACGAGCTGAAAGCAGTCTCTATAGACAAGCTGAAGGGAGTCTCAATAGACAAGCTGAAGGGAGTCTCTATAGACGAGCTGAAGGGAGTCCCTATAGGAGATCTGAAGGGAGTCTCTATAGACGAAGTGGAGTGAGTCTTTATAGACGAGCTAAAAGGAGTCATCATACACGAGCTGAAGGGAGTAGAGGAAGCTGAAGTGAGTCTATATAGGAAGTTTCTATAGACGAAGCTGGTATGTCAAATTACAGCCACATTGTTTTGAAAATGCTACTAAAATCTTCAATATACCGAAAATGGAATAGAACGGAATAGAATAGAAAGAGTCGGAGGACGAATATTCAAGTAGGTGGAGGAAAACACTTTTAATAGACGAATTTAAAGAGTAATTTTATAGACTGGAGTCTCCATAGACGGAGATGAAGGAAGCCTTTATAGAAGACTTATAGTCAAATGAAACCTGAAGGGAGTCTTCTATAGACGAACTGAAGGGAGTCTTCTATAGACGAGGTGAAAGCAGTCTCTATAGACAAGCTGGAACGAGTCTCTATACAAGCTGAAGGGAGT